AAACTGTAAGGATTCTTCTTATGTAACTTCTGCATGTGTATAGACAGGCATTACTGTAGTACGCTGTATTCATAAATCTGTGCATGCAGTTTATTATGTTGGCATCAATTTGTGAGTCTTGAATGTTGATGTACTACACAGTACCACCGAATAACTCAAGAACTGAAGGGTTTTCGTTTTCATGGCTTACAGGTGTGTGCTTTAAAAAGTGAGCTACTGAAAACTCTTATCTGATCTAATATCCGCAGAATGTAATGTGCTCATAATCTCACAACACTGATTTTGACAGAGAGTCAGAGAAAGGGTGAGACAGTAAGAGCAGGTGCCCGCAGTTAAAGTGATTTATGTGTGTCAGTGATTGAAGTAAGTACACTGACACATATCTGAACGAGGGCGAATGTTTTTCAAATCTATTGTCCAAGGTTAATATGCCTGCCAAGCACCACTGTCTAATAAAGGGCCTACGATTTGTAACCAATGTCTTAATTACTGATCAATAAATGATTTACTAATGCCAAAAGCCATTATTAAGGACAAATTTTGGGTTGGGCCAGTGGCTGGTGTTTTTTCTTTCTTCTTTTTACTTGGTAATAGTGCAGTTATAAATGTTGGTTATCCATTAATAAACATCATGTGTTTCTCACTTTCTAACAAGCCGTCTAATAAGACTTAAGATATAAATGTTATTAATACAGAGTTATAAGCAACAATTCTGCAGTTTTAAGTGAAAAATTGATAAAATGTCCACATTGTCTGTTTCCCTTTTCTGGAAATAAGCGGTTAAACGGTCTAACCAGTAGCAAATTATTTATTAATCATTAATGAAGCCAATAGTTACTTAGAACCCCTTTGAAAAGGGTACCTTATTAGAAAGTGGTAATTTTTTTTAATCATTCACCTTTGGCTGTGTATGAGGTACACATATTCCTCTCTGGTTCCACCTGTAAAGCCATAACAGTTTTATTAAGCAGGTCCTCATCACAAAAACACAGACACACGACGGCCTCACAAGCTGCCACATGCACTGACCAGAATGAATACATGTTATTTAAGCGCTTGTCATTGTGTTGTTAGCTCACAGGAATTCGTCCTTGACATGCCTCCTTTCAAAATAGTGACTTCACCCTGGATTGGGTGTCACAGACAACACAAACAGATTACTACCTGAAAATCAAAACATTCACTCCAGCACAAACATGTGCAAGCCACAGGCAGAAAGACAGAAACAGCTTGAGAAGTCACTTGTCTCACTAATAACACATCAGTGGCCAGTGTGATGTCAACATTGGTTTCCAGTTGGTGTATATATATTAGTTTTCCCTTTGTCTATTTGGTGACACTGTTGCAGCACAACCAATGAAACAAATGATTTGGTCTGAGAATTTTCAGGAAATAAGACTACAGTTCTTGAGTTCAGCATGACTGCCAGATGAACCTGAGGGAGTGAGTGGGAGGAGAACATATCCGGGGCTGTGGAGTGGCACTAAATGAGGATAAAACACTGGCATTAACTATTAAAGGCTAGTTGGCCTTGTTGTCATAAATTCTCCGTTTCCTTGGAATCACATCATGAGCGGGACCCCCTCTCCCAAAGTCATCCAAAACCTCAAGGTGGTTCAGTCAGAAAGAAAATAAATCACAAGAAGTAATTTGTTAGGTGAATCTGCTATTTTGGGACTGTTCACTATAGGGAGAACCCACTATTTGTTTTTAATACAGAGAAACACAATAACAGTGGTTTATATGTGGGCTGTTTAAGTTGGCACGAACATCTGAAGTGCACTTCTAAGCAGAGGGCTTTTGACGTGAGAGATCTTGAGAGCACTTCAATGTCTATACCCTGCTGGCATAGAGGGCATCTTATCTCTTTCTGTATAAGTCTTACCATCCAACCTGGCAAAATAGTGCAGGACACTGTATTCAGTATAATTAGGATGCAAATAATTTCAATCCCCATAGGAAAAAGTGCTGCCTGAAATTGACAAATGGTACTGAGCTACCTGCAGGCACCACACCTTTCAAATATAAAGGAAACATACGCCACCTGGTTGTCTCAGGTGAAATAGTCCCAAGGTGTCAGCCAGATCACATTTCACAGGTGGGGACAGTCATAAAGCTGCACTTAATGTGGTTTCAGTGAACCTAATCTTTTACTTTTTTATAAATACTATATTATAGGGTCATGATGAAACGTTTATTATGACCATGGTTTTATTATGGACTATCATGCACGCAATGTGAAGATGTTCTGTGACGCTCCAAATATTTTTAAATCATTTAACTCCGCCCCGTTGGGTTGGTCCCGAGGTGAACCGGCTATAAACTTCTGCTCACACACATTTGTAGGTGAGACGGCTTCAGTGCTCGGGCAGGTATGATAGCTAAAAAGGACTCCATTGGATTCAAATCAAAGCACTTCGCCTCTTGACGCACTTCCGGACTTTACGCGGAGATCTTATTGGATAGGTCTTGTACAGCGCTATCAAAGAGGGTAACTCATCAAAAAGCATGAAGTTGGAGGTGTTGTGTGGAAGCCACTATGACATGAAACATTTCGAGATGTCCAGTGTGCGCTCTCCTCTTTCTGCTGAGGAGGAGCTGGGGTCGGATGGGGACTGCGTGGCGCACAGCCCTCCACCTGCTCCATGCACCAGCACCAAATCCAAGCCGTACACACGGAGACCCAAACCCCCGTTCTCGTACATCGCTCTTATCGCGATGGCTATCCGGGACTCCACCACTGGACGTCTGACTTTGGCTGAAATAAACGACTACCTGATGAAAAAGTTCCCGTTCTTCAGAGGCACCTACACCGGCTGGAGGAACTCGGTTCGACACAACTTGTCTTTAAATGACTGCTTTCTCAAAGTGCTCCGGGACCCGTCCAGGCCCTGGGGAAAAGACAATTATTGGATGCTCAATCCTCGCAGCGAATACACCTTTGCTGACGGGGTGTTCCGGCGCAGAAGAAAGCGCATTCATAAAAAGTTCAGCAGGGAGTCAGAGGTGTCCGAGCACGCAGTGGAGCCGCAGAGCGTTCAGCAGTCTGCACCCGCCACCAAGACTGATTCACGTGTCAAGTTTACCAGTTCATTTGCTATAGATAGCATCCTCAGCACGCCGTTCAAGAGGGACTCAGACAAAGAACATTTACCGCTCCACCCTGCCTTCACCTGGCCGCGCAATACTGAGATAATGGTGCCTCATTCAAATACACCTGCCTCATTTCCATACGTCAAGTCACCCTGCCATATGGACTCCTCTGCTGCGCATGTGTCAAATGCCTGTGACTACGGCCTGCTTTTACGTACTTGCGACATCACAAATAAATGCGGACTCTTTTTTATTTGATGATTAAAAATCATCATTGTGCACTGCTGATGAGTTAAAAGGGATTAAACGTTGTTGTGGTGGAAAGGTGTTACACTTTCTTATTTTGGTACCCACCCACCCTCTTTACCCCTTCATCGGATATGATCTTTTATACACAATTGTTTGTTGTAAATTTATGTTACTGAACTGACCATTAACGTTGGTGTTTGTTTCACAAAAATGTTAAAACAAATTGCACTTTGACTGTTTTTGTGTGTCTTTCTTTAAAAATCTTTACAACGAAATAAAAAGTAACTCATGGTCTGCGTTTTCTATTGTTGTAACATTAGATTAAATTAGGAAGTAGTCAGCGGTTCTGGTGGAGCCAGACCAGCACCTGACATCTACATCTGTCATGTGCCAATGAAAGAAAGATCCTCGGGGCGTGTGTTCGTGTGACTCCACCTTGCAGAATTCTTAGAGAGCTCTTCTGGGGATGGGCTGCAAGTGTATGCCTATACGCTAGCCTCTTTCTATGCGTAAAAGCCTCATGTTGACTGTTGACTGTTGTGTTGTACACATTTTGAGAGATACATTCTTAATTGATAATAAAGAAGAAGATGCTCTTCCAGTTTTTGCTAGGAAAAAAATATACTGCCTCATAACAGAGCATGTGTAGGCCTGCACTGCATATAATTATAACAACAACAACAACAACAACAACAACAACTAGTATCTGTTTTTTCTTAGTTTATGATGCAGAATGAAATTGCCTTATATTCAGTGTTCATGAAGCTTTCTGCTGCCGGATAGGGGCATCCAGTATTTATGTTTTCTGTCTGGTGCTGCAAATAGCTGTCGCCTCAGTCACCACACATGCGCAGGAAAGGGTTTATACAAATGGTGCATCCTGAGCGAACACAACTCGAACCCACAAAAGGAAGAAATGTCTGCAAGTAGGCCCATTCTTCTGAGGCTAGAAAGTAAATTTCCCCCTTAACCAGCTGTGCATCCTGGACGCAGCAGGGTTACAGGTTTGATGTTGCTGACATTCTGGGTAGATTGTGTTGTGTTGCTGCTGTATGGGACATTATATCACGTCCTTAGAATGATGACTTGCTCTGTAATGACACCAGACATGCGTAAAACTCCACAAAGGCACAAAAGGGGCATTCCAGTAGTAAACTGTGCACAAAAACAATCGAATGTTTCAAAACCTGAATAGTTCCTTGCGGCTTATTTAGTTTCTCATCAATTCATTTCTCCAGGGATATAATCCAGGCTGCAAGAGGTAACCGACACTTGCGCTGTGTGTGGCACGTTGGCACGCTCTGATGGAAAAAGCATGCTTCCTCTCATGTCAGAGTCTTAACCCCGAACAGATCCCAAACAAATGAACCCTGCAGGATTCCTTCTCCCGTACACCTTTCCTAAATAACACCACTAGCAGACATCTTTATACCGTGTAAAGGTAGCCACATGAGGACAAACGTAATCATTTTAATGCGTTTTAAAGCATTTCATGGTTTGTCAAGTTATCTTGCCAAATATTCGCCTGACAAATGTATTCAGAGGTGTTTTGGAAAGTGAGTCGTGGGAGGAGATTTGTCTTACTCCACTGCGCTGTGTCCGGCTTCTAGTCTGGATCCTGGCCAGATGGGGAGGGAGTAGTTCCTGGCGATTTCTTGGAGGGATAGAGGGGGATAGAGGGGCAGAGAGAGATTTAAGAATTGATAGGTGGTCGAGTTGTGTTTGGCCGGGTGGATATGCGCACGAAAAGTCGAGGAGCTTTATTTCCCCTCTGTTATGGGATTATTGTCAGCGATGGACATAGAGAGCAAGGAAGAACAGCAGCTGGTGTTTCTTGATTTTCACGTAATAAACGTGCCGAGCATCGCAGAGGGACACTGACCTTTAAATTGTCGCAGTAGGGAACATTTAAAACATAGGACGAGTTGGTTGCATTTCAGAGCCCCCATAGTAGACGGAAGAGGCGCAACCATGACGACCGAGAGCTCCAAGCAACATTTGGATCCATCTAATCCTCTGCGCTCCAGTCCAGCGGCCGGTGCTCTGAATGCAGCTCTGCTGAGCGCACAGCCGGTGATGGAGAGCCCGCAGAATGCATCAACCAAATGGAAAAAAGGAAATTCTGGCTTGAGGCGCCCTGAAAAGCCTCCTTACTCATATATTGCCCTTATTGTGATGGCAATTCAAAGTTCACCGACCAAAAGGCTCACATTGAGTGAAATCTATCAGTTCCTGCAGGCCCGCTTCCCCTTCTTTAGGGGATCATACCAGGGATGGAAAAACTCCGTCAGACATAACCTCTCTCTGAACGAGTGTTTTATAAAGCTGCCTAAGGGTCTCGGTAGACCGGGCAAGGGGCACTACTGGACCATCGACCCGAGTAGTGAGTTTATGTTCGAGGAGGGCTCCTTTCGTCGCAGACCCCGGGGGTTCCGTAGGAAATGCCAAGCTTTGAAACCAATGTACAGGATGATGAATGGGATCGGGTTTGGTGCGTCCATGCTGCCGCAAAACTTTGAGTTCCAATCACCGTCAGGCTCATTAGCATGTCACAACAGCTACAATATAGACTTGATGGGTAGTACAGTGCCAGGTGGCTTCGAGGGACTTGGAGGGGGGCATCACGTCCCACATATGTCATCAGGCTCCGGGTCATCGTACATGGCCGCATGTCAGGTGGCCTCTAATGCGGACTATTGCCCGGACAGCAGCAGCAGCCCCCTGCAGTCCTCCCCAGCCATGGCAGGCACTTTGGACTGTCAGTCTCCTTATGGAAATGCAGCCTCACACTGGAGTTCACCTGGCGTATCTTCATACATCAAACAGCAGTCGCTGGCATCTAGCAGCACCTCTTCTTCTGCTCTGCACGCGGGAATGCCATCTTACTCTTTGGATCAAGGCTATCTGCACCACAATGCACGAGATTCCTCTGACATTTCAGGTAGAGCTCCACTCTATAAACAACTGGCAAAAGCTACATGTTGTATTTTGATTCTTGTTTGCACCATGATGAGTCATACGAATCAAGGTTCATGGTAATCCGTAATCAGCGAGTCACCTCTGCGTAAAATACAATTTTGTTAGACGTTCAGCCGTGACACACATTAAACAGTTTAGCTATTAACAAATATAGACATTTGATTTTCACTATTATGTATTTAATTTAATCCAGTTGCACTGGATGAGCAATACAGAAAATGAATACCGCTATGCGAATTCATTTTTGATCAACCAACTGTCTAACCTGACAGACCTTTGTGAAATGCAATAAGTAAAACCAAAGTTGCGTAATTTAATATTATTTTTAATTTTCTTGACTTTGGATTGAATTTTAACTCATGCTTTCTGTAGAGGCCACTGTGCTGTAGAATATAGAAAACAGGTACAATACACAATAACGAAGTGACGAAAATGGCATTAAACACGCTGTCACAAACTTATCCTCGGTAATATAAAAATAGTTGTATTCATTTAAGTGCAACTTCTTTAAGGCCCTTAACATGAGCCACAGCAGCACAATTATCAGGATGGGTGCAGTGGAGGGTGTCGTTGTCTTATTGCGTTTTAATTATTTAATTTTGTTCATGTTGTTCTTTTAATGTACACGATAAAACAAAATGGTACAACTTCCCAACAAAGCACCCTGCTGTTTTACAAGTGTAACGGATGACTTTATTAATGTTAACAAATGATTAAATTTGGTTAAATAGTCCGGGATAGGCCACTATCAAGAAAAATTATGGATTGCCAAATTGTGAAAAATCCAAGTTGTGAAAAATCCATTCTGCACAGTATTAGTACCACAATGCGTTGGTGTTACTGATAATATAGCCTAATACTTAACAACAAAACAAGCTATTACAAACATTTACACACCTGCAGACTTCATGGTTAATTATAAAATGAAAATCTACTATCATCTATTAATGGATTACCAACATTAACGGCCAAAGGATTGTTCGTACTGACTTCTAACTGATCAATTAAGCCTTAGTGATTCTCAATCATCAATAAAGCCATTAGATACAACCTGAATCACTATGAAAGGGTACCTTAGTGATACCAAGAGATTTTATAATAGGATAGCACTCATTAATTAAAACGTTATTTTTGTTACCCAGCAGTTGGAATAAAAAATGTAAACATGTAGCACAACAAATTCCAGATATAAGCAAGAGATGACTTGACCTCGTGTGTCCTGTGTGTTTACAGTGGGACTCTCTCGATACTCCAGCCACTCAGCTCCTGTGTGCGACAGGAAGGACTTCGTTTTGAACCTAAACGGAATCTCATCTCTCCATCCCAGCACCAGCGGATCTTACTATCACCAGCTTCATCACCATCACCAAAGCGTCTATCAGGACGTCAAGCCGTGTGTCATGTGACAAAACAGCCCAGAACTTTTCTACTAAATTAAACCCTCAGGTGGAGTTATTTTAAACACAATCTTTGGAGAGTTTTGGTAAGAAAAAAAAGGGCGTTTTATTCCATTCGAGACAGCACAGACAAATCACTTATGTGAACTTTGAGCTTTTCTTAATCGTTTAGTAATGATGCGAGGACTTGTTCACACTCTCATTACAGGGGTGCCTGTTCACACACTGATATGCAATATCAACATTTTTACTGAAAAAAAACCCCAACATAACTTTACACGTTAAACTTTATCTCATGCACTTAATTTTGTTTTGGTGAAGTCGCTTAAATTGTTACTGATTTCCTGCAAAACGCCATTAAAGAGATTTATTTTTAAAGGATAATTTGGAAGTGTTTAATGTCTTTAGCAATAACTATTATGACTTTTTTTTTATCATCACTGCCACTCTTCTTTATTGTGTTTCTTTTGTTTCTTCTTTCTCCTACAAATATTATTATTATTATTATTATTATTATTATTATTATTATTATTATTATTATTATTATAGTTGTTGTTGTTAAATCCACACAAAATGGACCAAAACCTAATTAATTATAAAAAACATTCCAAACAATGCAGCTTGTGGTCGATTTTGCTGACGTCCATTATTTCCCTTTATTCCTGACCCTTCAAAAATGTTATGACAAAAATAAGTTTCAAAATATCAATAGGCACTTTTCAGAGACACTGTCCTCGCATTGAGCACCACCACGGAATTGTGTTGTCAGTGCGGTCTTTAATAAACATCGTGTCTTATAGTCACACTGGAAAGCCAGTGTGCTATACTTCAGTCAGTATCATCATTTTAACACATGAAAGATATATTGTGTAGTTTTATTTTATTTACACTAATTAAGACACATTTAGTGTTACAGAAAGAAAAGTTTAGAATAATTTAAAAGAAAGCAATCCTTCTTTGAGGTTGTTTATTACGCTAATGATAATTAAAGTAGCCTATAATGTGTGTCTTATTTATCCGAAGAAGCCTGTCTATATTTTTGTATTGTGATGATTGTGATTAGATTAATCACTAAAGAGGAATAAAGAAAACAACGTCACATTCGATCCACAGCACAGCGTCATTTTTTAAAAAATTTACTTTATTGAGAACGTCAGCACATGCATACAACATATAAACACATAACACATAAAGGCGTACAACATCTCATTGTCCAGGGGTTCAATCTTGTTTAGTCCTGTTGGTTTTCACGCGACTGTACCGCCACCTCGTGGTGATCGAAGGTTTAGGGGCTTAAATCATATTTCACTTTTCGTTATGCAAATTGCGTGTGCACAACTTAATTTTGCGAAAGAGATTAAAATATTATTAGCGACCTGTCCAGGGTGTACCCCGCCCTTCGCCCGATGGCAGCTGGGATTGGCTCCAGTCCCCCGCGACCCTGTTCACAGGATAAGCGGTTGACGATGGATGGATGGATTAAAATGTTGTGCAGAACAGTCAGTTGGTCACCTCAGATTAGTGAACACATATATTTATGTCGGGTATCCACCAATGCATGCCTTGGAGTGAAATGTAACTGTCCCTCTGATGTGGGCCCCCTGCAGTGAGGTCACCACACTGACACAAAATGCTGAGTTTGACTTGATGAATCCAGTTCTGACTGGACTGTCAAGTCTTTGTAATCTGAAAAAAATGCAGACATTTCATCACCAAAGAATCTTAAAACACAAATATGCTCATAAACCCTGGAAAGCTGAAGATTCACAGATGATTGATTACAAAAGGTTTTAAGATTGATGCTTTGAAAATGTGTGTTTTTTGGCTTTTTGAGGGGCCAGCTATAACCCTTTCATCCTGTCACCAAAATGCCATCAAGATGGTTTTGACAAATGCTTTTCAGACGGTGTATGTGCAAGTCCATTCAACACAATTTGTTAAGAATAAATCACATTGTATTAATTTGATCATGCAGAAAGACATCAAACATCAGATGCACTGCTGTATTTGCTATGTGTAACTGTTATCATTTTGTAAGTCTAATAATGTGTCCAGGTCTGGGAGGTCAAGTAGAATTTCGAGCAGTATTATAGAGTTCCATGTTTATATGACATTGGTATCACAGTATGCATACAAATTCATTTCACCAACAACCTTTTAAGAGAAAGAGCAGGTGTGTTTGTTTCATTAAAAGTCTACTGGCTTATTCGTGTCTTTTCTGTCCATTAAGAGAATTATGAATACATTTTAGGGTATCTGTGATCAAAGCAAATCAAAATTAACTCAAATGACACGGAAACAGTGGCTTAAAATTGTTACACTGACTGCAATTGTACAGTCAACTTTCAGAGCCTGCTGCATTTCTAAGTTTGAGAAAGTAAACATAGCAGATGTTACACAAATCAGAATACTTTTTTTTATCCCCCAGGGGAGATCAGAATCAGCTTTATTTTTCAGTTATGTGTACACATACGAGGAATTTGACTCAGGATTGTACATTGCTCATGATGTGCTTACTTGTACAATAATACAATAAAACAATAATAAAATCAGACACAGGCTACAGTATAGAGAACACAAATAAACACACTATAAACAAGAACAAAAACAATATAGACAGATTGACAATTGCAATGAGCGGAGTGCAAAGGATACAGGAGTTAAATTATTATCATCATTATTATGTACATGTTGGAGGTGGATGTGATATACAGGTACACATACATGTACACAGTGCGATGGAGCATAGTGCAAAGGATGCTGGAATAAATAAGTATTAGGTGGAGGTGTTATTGTGTTAGTGAGGGAGATTCTTTGTTACAGACACTCGCAAGGTATAAACGGAATAGAAATTATATGAAATGTGGATATTTACAGTATTATACAGTATTAACATAAGTATTATTAACAGAGTTGTAATGATAAATAGCAGGAATAAATAAAACGTACAATAATAATGAATAATAATTAATTCAATGAAGCACAAAATCAAATATCATCTGCCTTCAAATGAACATTTTTATATCTGACCTCTGTCAGTAACTGGAAATGATCCAGGAACAAAAATCATCCGCACACGCATGTAGAACACAGGTGTGATTTTATGGGAAGACACTTCATTCAGTCTCTTTCTGGATGCAATGTATCACAGTGGCTACTTGTCCAACGTGTGAGCCGTTGTAACTCTTCAGTGAGTTACTTATTTACTGGGCAGAGTTTTCTTCAATTCCAATATAAATATTCAACTTTTAGTCATGAAATTGTCTTACAATCTGTGACATTTTGCAATGAAAATGATTTGTGTTTAAAAAGGAAAATAGAGACTGCACAATTATTCACAAATTTGTGGATTTTATAGTTCAGTTTATTTGTGTTTTAAGTTTATAGCTTTCATGTGTATTGGTTGTTTTGACCCACACCCATTAATGACTGTTTATTTTTTGTACTTCCTTCACCCTGCTGTTATTTGTTCTAGATAGATATTCTTCTCCCAGATTACTTTTAAGGCTGATGAACACACACACAACCACAGAAAAAAATTTGACTGAAATGTATCCAACAGTGGGGGATAATTTAATGCAGTCCTATAGAAAGACATAGCCTAGTTGTTAAAAATGCACTGTTCTCATTGTGGAGACTAGTTTTAGTAGCTTAATTCTCAGTCAATGTTGCCTACTAAGATTTAATGGAAATGGAAATGGAAATAACCCTTGCTGAAAAAAAAACAACAGTGTGGAAATGGAAAACAAAGCATCAAGAAAAAATGTGTAATTGAGGCCAAATCATATTACTATGACATGTGAAGCATAAGCAAAAACTCTGATGTTGCCAACCAACAACACCATTTTCCATCACTGAATAAATATGGTATATTTAAGTTAATCAGAGCACTGGGGGCTGTGACCAACAGTGAGAGTGGCTACAGCAGATTCCAGGTAAAACATCAGAGGTCTCTGTTCAGAAGAGTGCAGTCCTAGGAACAGCTAAGATGCTGCGCAGAACCCTCAAACTCCCAGGCCTCTGGTAGAGGACCCGAGCTAGAGGATGACACATACCACCCCGTAAGGGGTGAGAGGGGGATTTTATATATATATATATAATAATTTAGCACTGTGTGCCATGCACACAGTCACAGAACAGACACTGCACACCATATCGTGTGACAAAATGTATTTTTAATGTGGTGCATTAAGATAAGTATTTATTATAATAATCACAAAGGGGCCTACAGGCTCCTTAAACAAATAAGGGCCCAGTTTTACAAACATAAATGTCTGCAACAAAACTTTGTTTTGACAATTCTTGTACATGTAACTCTACTGGACCAGGGGAAGCTCTCTGACCCTGCCACTCTTCCACTCACGGACATCATGGCCTACAGGTTATAGGGCTCACTGTATCACATTATCCAGTGGTGGAAAGTAACTAAGTACATTCACTCAAGTAATGTACTTAGGTACAGTTTTGAGGTACTAGTTCTTTACTTGAGTATTTCCATTTTTTGCTACATTATACTCCTAGGGAAATGCGCTACTTTTTACTGCACTACATTTATTTGATAACTTTAGTTAGATACATTAGCAGATTCAGATTAATAACACAAATATAATAAACAAATAAATGATGATATATTATCACTGGTAAAGATAAGATAAGACTTCATTGAGGCCTGGGTGGGAATTCACAAGCTACCTGGTGACATAAAATAAAGTGATTAATGCATCTAAATATAATCCAATATTATGATATGAATTATTCTGAAATGAGCCATCCTGCATAATGAGTACTTTTACTTTTGGCACTTTAAGTATATTTTGCTTTTGATACTTTTATACTTTGTCAATAAAATGTTAAATGCAGGACTTTTGCTTGTAAGTATTTCTGCACTATGGTGCTAAAGTAGAAACCACTAACATTATCTGTCAAATATGGACAACTGGAGGATTGAAGCTGAAAAAAAGGAGGTATTTTGACTTCTGAATGGCATTTATTACATGCAATTGTCTACCGAATTAGAGCAGTTTAACCAAAATGTTTAGTTAAATTACAGCCCAGTGAGAACGCATCTTATGATTAATGCATCTAAATTTTCAAGGTCATGGAATTCCCTTAACTGATAACTGGCGACTTTATTCTTCTAAGTAATGATCCCTTGTGTCCTGTCACGCTGAAAAGGCACCAGAGATTGCAGTTTTGATTTCAGACAGTAGTATTGAAACAAACCAGGAGGTGGCAGTAGTGTCTTATTAATGTTCTGCAACCTCTGTACAATAGATCAACCACTGAACACCACATACACACACGCACACACATGCACGCACGCACGCACACACACACACACACACACACACACACACACACACACAACTAAATAATAGATGTTAACTACTTAAATAAATATCGGCTGTATTTAATTGCAATTGTATTATTGTATCATTTACAAGATGTGATTGGGTCAACGTCAATTTTAAAAATCAAGCTATAGGTATGGGTCTGGTTTACTGACCTATTTGTCAAATTAATTACTTTCAGCTTAATGGTATCATTGTGTAAGATATCTGTTCTTTCTTCATGTCTCAAAAAATGTAAACGTGAAAATTCTGTAATGAAATGGCCGTTAAATGAGGGAGTTCAGTTTAAGTTAACACAAATCAGTGCAGGTTAATTAAAGAAAGCCCCAAAAAGCAGAACTTAGCCTTTTCTGAACAGTAGAGGGAGCCAAGATCATAGTTATGATAAACCTCTCTCTCTCTCTCTCTCTCTCTCTCTCTCTCTCTCTCTCTCTCTCTTACTGTATTTATCTCGTTTTTTAAATGTCAGTAATTTTGATTTGATTTTGTGTCACTGTTTCATTAGGTTTTTATGATAACATATAAGTCTGATTTAGTGAGTACAATACTGCATTTTTTTTTATTTTAACGTAACTATATAATATATATATATATTTACATTCCCTGTGTCTAATTATTTGCTGTGATCTCGGGGGGGAAATAAACTTTGCAAAGGGGGTTGGGGGCGTGGTAGCCTACAAGTGCGCAAAACAAAATAACAAACAAAACAAATAAAAGACATTAAATTTAATTACATTTTAGGCCAAGTAAAATCAGAATCAGTGTCTCCATATACATTTTATTGTTAACGGGTATTGTTTTAGTAACATAAAATAGGCCTAACCTATTTTAATAATTAGTCTGCCCTCATTATATTACAATTACATTGGTGAAAAATAGCAAACTGCCATCAAATATTCCGCCTGTTGTTCTGTGTATAATTTTGACAGCCATTTATATTTTTTTCACTGTGTTTCAGTCGTGGACACAATGAAGAGTTACGGAGGACTGGGTGGGCAGGCCGTGGCATTAAGTAAAAAGCCCGTTGTGAATTGTGTAAACAGCCCGGGGCCGTGGAAAAAGTTCATGCCCGGGTCCATGTAAGGAGAAACCGGCGGAGCACCAGGCCACTGCACGGACATTTAATTAAGACGAACTGCTAAGGATTACATCGATATTGGGACTGTAACTTTGCCTTTCAAAGACCATTTACAATTTCATGCACAGTCGCCTTTGACAGCATGGCGACATAGAGGCCTTCAGGTCGGATTATTGAATTTATTTCTATCTTTGGTCAAAATCTGGTTTGTTTTAAACCTCAGCCTTAAAATTAATTACGCCGCACAAAATCCCAACGTCTGTTATAAAACGCCTTATAGGCTAAACTCTCCCGGGATTTTTTTTAAATTAAAGATGAGTGAAGGAGACTCGTAGTTCTGTTTATTCGGTTACAGGGACAATAAAGTCTGAAAGGCCTCTAACATACCAACACATGTAGATATTCATACATTTGGATCAAAAGCGCCTCGTTTGAGGTGTAAACGTCGTCCCATTTGGTTCCCTGTCTTTAAATCTTGAACAAACTCCAACACCTCTCAGCCCAAATTGTCTTTAATTCCCCCAGTACCTAATGAGATCTCACTTAACCCCCCACTGCCAAAGATGCGAGGCTCTGCCTCTGCTTTGATCTCACAACGATCTGCTGCTGGTGTTGAGCCTTTTAACTAATAAAATGCTCTTTTAAAGACGTTAACACTGCACGTAAAAAGGCCACGTTTGGTCGATTGGTGCTACTATCTCTTCTAATAAAGAAGGAAATAAAAGTGGAGATACAACTGAATTACTTATCTTTTATTGGGAGCGATAGCCACAAGAGATCATGCCACATGATATGCATGCCATGCATAAACTGTGATTATTTTAGGTGAAGAATTAGCCTAAATCAGAATTAGCCTAAATGTAAAGCTATGATATCGAGATTAATGTACAGATATTGAACGTTTCAATTTCAAAGATAACTCTGTTTTCCCAAACAGCTGCAGATGTCTGATGTGCGGGAATATGCACTCCATGATCTTGATTGTGTGCATGTGAGTTGCTCTGTCACGTCTGAAGTGTTGGCTGAAGTGGGCTGGGAGTTACCGACACCTCCTCTCGGGTTTTTTTTTTTTCTGAAACCCCCGAGTGTGGCCAGGAGCTTTCTGCTCACTATGCGCGGCCTGACATCCCATTGGACAACTCTTGCACTTTGGGGGAGGAGCTCCACTGGCAGCAAAAAAGGAGGAAAGAATTTAACTGCGCAAAAGTCCTGTGTGGTGACGGATGTCCAAAGTTCAGAACTTTTTCAATGTGCGTTTCATAGAGACACAGAGATGGGGACGGCTTAAACACCACTGAGATCCAGCACGTTGCACTGTTGTTAAGACTTTCCTCTCCTTTTGCTTTTTACGTGAGCAGTGAGGAACCGTGATTTGAGCGCCTCATCATTCAGAGGAGGGAGAAGTGGAGCTCTCCGTCTGCGTATTTTGGAGCCTTATTTTCAAAGTGAAGACATGCAGGCTCGCTACTCCGTTTCCAGTCCCAACTCGCTGGGCGTCGTGCCGTACATCAGCAGCGACCCGAGCTACTACCGGGCCGCTGCCGGTGGGGGATACACCGGGATGCCAGCACCCATGAACATGTACTCTCATGCGGCTCATGACCAATACCCTGCCAGCATGGCCCGGGCGTATGGACCGTACACCCCTCAACCTCAGCCCAAGGATATGGTCAAACCCCCCTATAGTTATATTGCGCTCATCACCATGGCTATCCAAAACTCGCCTGACAAGAAGGTGACCCTGAATGGGATTTACCAGTTTATCATGGAGAGGTTCCCCTTTTACCGAGACAACAAGCAGGGCTGGCAGAACAGCATCAGGCACAATCTGTCTCTGAATGAGTGTTTTGTCAAAGTGCCCCGTGATGATAAAAAACCCGGTAAAGGCAGCTACTGGACCCTGGACCCGGACTCTTACAACATGTTTGAAAACGGGAGCTTCTTGAGAAGGCGACGACGGTTTAAGAAGAAGGACGTGCAGAAAGAGAAAGACGACCGGCTGCAGAAGGATCTGCCGCCGAGGCAGCAAGGCCGGGAGCAGGAGCAGCCGGTGCAGGGCTCCAAGCCCGTGAGGATCCAGGATATTAAGACTGAGAACGGGACAGTCACGCCACCGCAGGCCGACTCGCCCTCTTTGAGCACCGTGCCCAAAATCGAGAGCCCGGACAGCAGTAGCATGTCCAGCGGGAGCCCTCACAGCATCCCATCCAATAGGTCCATCGGCATGGACAGCTCCGAGCACCACCAGCACCACGGCCAGGCCTCGACGCAGGGCTTCAGCGTAGACAACATCATGACCTCCCTCCGGGGGTCTCCACAAGGGGCCACTGAGCTCACCTCCAGCCTCAACGCTTCCACCAGGACAGGTATAACACCGTCTTTGTCCTTAAACTATTCTCCCAATCAGACATCCGTCTATAGTTCACCCTGTAACCAAAACTCCATCTCCACTACCTCCAATGCAACCTACCATTGTAACATGCAAGCCATGAGCTTGTATGCCGGGGACAGATCTAGCCACTTGGCGCCGAGCACCACCGTGGACGAAACGTTGCCAGATTACTCAGTCACTACCACCTCATCCTCCCTGACCCATGGCAATCTAAACTCCGGGCAGGAGGGCCACCATCCCCACCAAGGGAGGCTGACCTCATGGTACCTCAACCAGGCCGGAGACCTGGGCCATCTGGGCGCAACGTACCCAGCACAGCAGCAGAACTTCCATTCAGTCCGAGAGATGTTTGAATCCCAGAGAATTGGCTTGAATAATTCGCCAGTGAATGGGAATAACAGCTGTCAGATGTCATTCCCACCGAGCCAATCCATCTATCGCACTTCGGGAGCTTTCGTGTATGACTGCAGCAAGTTCTGACCAACCCCCCCCCCCCCCCCCCCCCCCCCCCCCCCACACACACACACACACACACAATCCCTCTCTTACCTGCCCACACCACATGGACAAATATGAGACAGAAAACAAACAGAAAAGACTTGATCTTGGTTTTTTCTAAAGAACAGTGTTACTGCAAATAACAGTAAGTCTCTCTTTGCTTTTGTGGCTTTATATGATATGTTAAGGATATGTCAGTTTTCATGGACGTGTAAATTGCATATAGTAATTTATTTCTAAAATGTAGCCGGATATTATGGACCAAACACCAAAAAAGTGTTTCTAAATTGAATTGCCTTAATTGTCCAAAAAAATTGTTCCACTATAAAAGTAAGAAAAAGGAACGTGTATATCGCCGTACTATTTCAAAGATTCTTCCTTTGTTGAAAAGTATTTTGAAGGATTTGTTTGTTTGTTTAATAAATTGTCATTTAATGTGAGTTAAAGTTACGCCTCGTTTCTTACAGACTTGAATACAGGCTAGTGATTAGTTTTGCGTGGAAGGTAAAAATGGCCCGTTTTATATCTGATCTGACCCTCTGAGATTTAGGTCTTATGGTGGGCGTTCATCAAAATGATATGTTTAAAATAAATTAAGGATGTTTGGACTGTAATGTGCTGCACGGATTCAGATCTTAAAATATTTGTAGCCTACTCTCACCAAAAAAGGACTAATATATTTGTACTTGTAATAAAGCCTTTTGAAGGAAACCTGGAAAAAATATTGAGGCAAAAGATAATTTGTTTCTAATGGCGTGCGCACGTCCTGAAAGAAAACCCTGTTAAGTATGTGTTTATATAGTCTTTTTAATATTCACATTTCATTTACTGTTTATATTTTTTGTCATAATAGAAATGCTGAATGCTTTATGAGTTGTTGTTGACCCGAGGCCTAGACCTGGGAACCAGCCTGCACACAGCACAGCTTTGTTTTGGACTGCATTGTGTGTTTACTGGCGCATACCAGTGCTTACTTAATATCATACCGCACATGCCAAAGATAGTCCCGTTGTCACTTCACTTTTGATGTCTGAATTCTCACCAGGCTGACATGACACTGACGTGAAAGGAGACAACTACGACCGTCACCTTTTGTTACACATAGCCTAACTTATCCCAGTCTTTTCAGAGCATGTGGATATGCCTATAGCAAGAATGAGTAGATATTTAATTGGGCTTTATGTACTCCAAATGCCAGACTGATGTTTTATTGTAATCCTAGTTGGCAGTTTTTCCTCAAACAGTTTTGAAGGCAATATCGTTTTTTTTACCCTCAGTGACATTAATGAATTGAATCAGTCTCTTTTAATCACTTTAACTGGAAACTCATGAATTATTTTAGAAGAGGCATTTGTTTAGTAATAGCCTATCAAGGGAAATGCTTTCTTGAAATACAATACACGTCTGACGTATATTGTATTTAAACACAATCAAAGCAGCGTTCAATTTCATTTTTTAAATTTTAATTTGGGGTATTTTCTAAATATTTAGGCCTACTGAGCGCAGAGGGATATTTGTTTCAAAAGGCATTAATATGTACAGGGTTTGAAAAATACGTTAAAATGGTTTTTGAATCGACTGGTGCGTGACTAAAATTGCGTATGTCTACAATATACAAAGACGATGTCAATGATAATAATAAAAATTAAAATAAAAACAACAACAACAACAACAATAATAATATGTTTATTACAAACTCAGGATTATAGTCGTTATTCCCATAGAAACAAAAAACATGACTTTTAATAAGATATTATAACATGGTAATAATATCATCCGTTATTAAATAGGATTAAAAAGGATACCTGTTACTAAAGATTATAATGATAAAAATAATAATACATTATTATCGTTACAGCACGTTCAAATTGAGCTGCTTGGTTTTCTATATCGAAACTTTCAAACTTGTTGCCAAAGTTTCCTTGCTTACAGAAACAGAGGGGGTGGCAACATTTCCTACAGACTGTGACAGACGCCAAGTCAGAACCCACTACAGACCGAGTAGCATATTAAACTACAATTATGTCAAATGCGCTTCTGAAACACCGTTCTTCAAAATGGAAGGTGGGTTAGATCCGGCAGCTTCAGGTCTCTAGACCAACAAGACGCCAGCAATACCAAGAGTAGGCTATAACACATCAAAACGAAACGGGAGTGTGCAGCTGCAGGCCATGTGCACATCCCAGACTGTACTTTGCTATTTGCATGGTGCGTATTCGTGAACAACGACAGCAAAGAACATAAAAGAAATATTTGAATTGTCCCGTGTTGCCACAATGAAATGCTGCGTGTCTCTCCATACTGTCCGAGTGCACCAACTCAAAGTCATTAGATACTTTCCCAAGTATAGGCCTAATAAACAAACGTCGTGTTAGCCGAAAGATTGATGGCGCCCTCACAGAATAGACCAGGTCAGGAAGGAATAAAATTCAATCAGAGAGCTGGAATCGTTTTTCATGAGACGGAAAAGGCAGAGAGGGAGACGGGGGTCAATGAGGAGGATGTCGGCCGCCAGAGCACCATCAACAAAATACAGGACATAGCAGAGAGAGAGAGAGAGAGAAAGAGAGAGAGAGAGTAAGAAGGACAGTTAGAATAGAGCTTAGCTTGGTGTGTGTGATCTGAATTCCTTAAAATTGCAAATAATACTATTTAAAAAGGAAAGGGTTTCACAAAATTAGGACCGAAAGACGTGCAGACGGTTGATATGTAATATTATAACATGTGCTTTAGGAACTGAAAATGAACTGATAGGTAGGCTACTATAATTACCAATAAGCCTGTAGTTTCCTACGTGGGGCCCGGGGGCCATCGTCCTGTCATGAGGGGTCCAACAGCAAAATAGGTTAAATTTAATTTCACTTCCATTTCCCTTCTCAGAAGAAGGGATAGAAAGAACAGCATATAGGCCTAATATTTTTGCTTTTACAGTTATGTCCCCACATACAGTGCAGATGGTTGTGGCAGTTATTTCTCACAAAACAACAACAACTGAGATGATGCTCAGGGCTCATAAAACAGGGTCCTGGTGCTGTTTGGGGCTTCGAAGACTTTTGGGGACCCCTGTTTCAGTCTGGATTAGGCTTCACTCTGTTTTTCCCTGAAACGTTCCGCCACATTCCTGAAAATGCACAACTTCCCTCACTGCTTTGGGTCAAATAGCAAAGACAAAAGTGTCTATGTTGGCCAAAAATTTTAATATTTAACATTTCAAAACTGCATCTTTGATTTTTCTTTTTACCTCGAGGATTTAAAAGCTGCAATTATTTAAAAAATAACTTTAGTGTTGTTTTGTCACCAATCACATCGCTCATGATCGAAACATGATTTTAGAGTTGGCAAGTTATACATTATACAGTCTAGGCGTAGCAATTTCGGAAAAAAAAAAGATCCAAACCATCTAATCATCAAATACTCAGAATTAGAATTGATGCACTTGAGCCAGTATAGATGTGTGTTAGCCTGTATGTTTGGAGGTCAGGTAAAGTTCAAGAAATGCACATAAAACTAAATAACACAGTTAGTATTTTAACGTAGCATTGATAAAATATCAACTAAATATAAAATAATCTGAAATTTGCAATAAATGTGGAGTGACACATGAATGTCAGCGTTTTCACAACCACAAATCAGATGTAAAAATTCCAGTTTTGACAAGCGTGAGCAAAGCGAAAATGGAAATTTATATTGCTGATATATATATTTGTCCTTCAAGTGTTGAAGCAAAGATGTATTTGTTTAATAGATGTTCAATTGATGCATGGATTTGTATCTCAATAGAGAGGAGTAGACGGTATGAAACATTATTTTCCTTAAATATTGCACAATTTCTTTTCACTCCATTTACAGGGATACTTTAGTTGCACCGAGACTATAATGTTTGCAACTTCTGATATTATAGGAACCGATTATTATTCCATCGTTGCTGGTTGTAAAGTTCGCCAGCTATGTGTAAAAACACAGTGCAATTGGGCCAAAGCTTTTCCCAGAAGAAATCTACGTGGTTACCTGAATATGTCTTTATGCGTATTGCACTCAAGTCTCGGTTAGCCCCTGCAGACAGTGTGCACCTGTATGGCTGAGTGACCGCCTCAGCTGCATAGAAATGCTATGTTATAGCTCTCGGTTAGTGTACAAGAGCCGAGCTCCGAGCGCCATCTGGTTCTAATTAAGAGTCCATAGACGCACATTCTGTCTGCTCTGCGTCCAAACCAAGTGAAAGGTTGGAGGTCCAACACTTGTCTCCCATAAGGAGAAAAAAAAACCTCTGCGTGCAGTCTCTTATCCTGCGTGTCTCATTTTAAAGACAAATGATAATTTTCAATGAAATAATTCACTCGGCTTTGTCAAAACAGGCAGAGCGGCGAGGTGTAAACAAGGCTTCTGCATTCAAATAACAATCTTGAAATCGTGCAGCATCTTCAAGTCAAAAGGAATGAACTCGTGCAGACCTCATACGCACTGGGATAATGGGGTACTGTGAATTCAGTCCGGCGGAGAACGACCGACCTGCGAATAACCCGACAGCCTTGGCGAAATACTTAAAAAACGAACAGAGTTGCCTTCAAGTTACACAAAACCTACTTTTCTGCAGCTCGGGCCTGCGGTTTCTAATTATAGCAACTTTTTACACACCGAGCATTTGAATGTCCCAATTATACAGCATGACGTACAGTAAATTATTGTTAATTGTAGTTTTATTTTATGAATACATAGGCTATTTCTTAAAGTCGACGACTTTAAAACCTTATTTTTAATCTGAATGGCCAGCCAGGAATATACTGTCACAGGTGGGGGTGGTAAAATGACATTCTTATATTCAGAATTGTGCTTAGCCTGTCTATTAATTACTTTCTTATACATTGAATTTCCCAGATATAAATCAAAGCAACAAGGGCACGCAAGGAAATAAACGCAGTTTATTGTTAAATCAGTAAATAAACAAACCAAGGCGTTGAACGAACTCTTAAGTGGATATGATTCCCCGATCATTATG